CATTTGTATGCCAACCTGTCACGTTGCTCAAGTGACGACGATGGTGAGGATGATGATCCTTCAATTTAGTTCTGACACTGCAGCAGTTTGTACTGCTGGTATGGTCGGCCATGGACACAATCCTTTATAAACATTAGACAGATGAACATGTGTTTGCTGCAAGATCTAAAAGTGTATGTACATGTATGTAATGTTCCAGCAAAAGGTGTCATGTTAATAAATAGTCGAAAATATGTTGATATTTTACAGGAAAATTCAGCTGTTTATACTCCACACACTAACAGGACTTTAAAAACGCATGCAGAGCAGTTACTTAGTATAAGAAGCATTATTAAAAAACCCAAAGGGGTAAATGGATACTTAATCAATACTTGAGCTCCTATTTCTAACACCATATTGTGTGTATTTTAACCTGTTTTGGGGCATATTATGGAAAATAAGATTAAGGTATCAGAAAATGGTCAGAAAAAATGGCAACATCAATTTTTTGTAAGTTTAAACATCCCAGAAGATGGTCCAACCAATTGACCAAAATTAACATTTCCTGCCAACGGAAGTACATTGGCCCCCCTACTACAACTTTAACGTGCGTATTCCTCAAATGTTAAGTCTGTTTATCGTTTCGAAAAAATAGTAACGTATCTGGTTATGAAATTGGCGACATGTGCTCCAAAGGCGCTCAAGTAGAATTAATGAGCTAATCTTTTTCGATTTGTCATTGTATATTTAGAGCATACTATGGACTAATAATATAAAAGGGTAATCATTGATATGCACACATGAAAGACAAATGGGAGACTTTTCATGAAACACACCTTGGCTGGGGACAGAGAAAACCGCAACAAATACCACCTCACCCGTCACAATTTCTAAGATTTTTCTTGATTTTGTTACCTTCTTACTACATGGGCTTATGAAACAAAACTGAGCCACGAAGAAAATTAATATAAATCATTATCAAACACACTCCATACTTCTTAGAAACACAAGGGACACAAAAATGGCACATTTGAACACTTTAGCGGAGAATGGCCCTGCAGCTGATCCCAAAGGTACAAGTAACCTTTTGTCTCTTGGCTGTGACCTGTGATCAACCTGCCAGGTGGCCTCGCAGCAGGGCTCTCTTTTCAAGAGATTATCAGAGCCAATGCATTGTCCCTCTGCTGAGCCTCCTGCAAAGACAGTACTTAGAGAAAAACTGGTAAGTTTAACATGGTGAATTGTGTTTTCCTTAACCTTATCCAACGGCATTCTGGAGATTGCATCAGCGTTCTTGTGCTGGGTACCTGGTCTGTAACTAATCTCATTGTCAAAAGCACTCAAAGTTTCTATCCATCTGGCCAGTTGGCCTTGCACATCTTTGAAATTACAGAGCCATCGTAATGAACCATGATCCACTATATTGAATTTCCTTCCGTACAAATAATGCTTATAGTGTTTCACAAAATGCACGACAGCTAAAGGCTCTTTCTTGGTCACACTATAGTTACGCTCACACTATAGTTACGCTCACACTATAGTTATGGTCACTTTTGGACAACTTACAACTTTTGTTACCGATCCTCTTTCCTGTCCTCCTTGAACTTGGGAAAGAACTCCACTAATACCCTGGTCACTAGCATCGTATGAAATATAAATGGTTCTGAAAAATCTGGAAATGCTAGGACATTTGCCGAGATGAGGTTACTCTTTATGTGCTGAAATGCAGTGTCACATTTGGCTGTCCATTTATAACATACATCTTTGTGTGTAAACATGTGGAGTGCAGCTGCAATAATTATGAGCAAAGTCTTTCACAAAACGTCTGTGACAGGAACACAAACCTACGAAACTGCGAACTTTATTCAGATACAGGGCATTTGCGAATCTTCTCGGGGTCTGTTGACACTCCATCACTGGACACCATGTGCCTCAAGTGTAATACTTGTTTCTGAAATAAATGTCACTTTTTGGGCTTCAATTTAAGCCCTGCTGAGGACAATTTGTCAAAAACATCACTCAGCTGAGACGAGTGTTCCTCAAAGGATCGAGCGAAAATCAAGATGTCATCAATAGTATGCTAATAGGTCTTCCACTGTAATCCTGCTAACACAAGTTCTGTTAATCTTTCACATGTACTAGGGGCATTACAGAGCCCGGATGGCATCACATTAAATTCATAAAGACCACTTCCTGTAGTAAAAGCTGTCTTACTCTTATCCTCTGGATTACCCTCTACTTTCCAATAACCACTGGCCAAATCCAATGATGTAAACCACTGTGAGCCAGACAGTTCATCAAGGCTATCATCATTACGGGGAAGAGGATATGCATCTTTGTGAGTTACTTCATTCAATTTCCTATAATCAATACAGAACCTAGTGGATCCATCTTTTTTCTTGACTAAAACAACGGGACTCGCCCATGGACTGTTGGATGGTGAGATTACGCCTTTTTGAACATATCTTCAATCTGTGTTTGTGCTTCAGCCCTGTGATAGTGAGGTAAACGACGAGCATGTTGCCGTTTGGGGCGAGCATCCCCAGTATCCATGCTGTGGTACTCTACATTGGGACGACCTATGCCCTTCCAGTATACAGTTCCTGCTTGAACTGTAAACTGGAAGGGCATAGTCTATATAGTCATCAATGGTCCCTTAGGCTTTCTTGTTCTACTTTGCTGAAGGGCTACCTGAAGTTCCATTACTGTCTGCTTTAAGTGCTCAATCTTGTGTCTAAAGTCATCCTGAATCTGCCTATTTGGTAGTTGAGTTCTCATTGGGCTTACTTTGATATGCATTGGTACCCATTCTCTGTAGAAAATTTGCTTTGTTGTATTCTACCTGAAGAAAGGCCTCTTCTTCTAAAGCTACTGTAAGAGCAGCCCCTAAGTCCTTAGGTTTAGCTCATCGGACCTGCATTCTAACATCAGGTGAGTCTAGTGCCTCTATGAAATAATCTCAACCTAACTCTTCTCGCAAGACAGCAGATACGTCTGGACATGCCTTAGGTACAAGTCTACGAATATCACTTGCCAACTTCACCTTTTCTATGACATCACTTTAAAGTGCGCCCTAAACAGACCTGTCTGTCCCTGTGGTTAAAACCTTTCTTTCAAGGCCTTAACAACATCTTCTAAGTACAATTTGCTGGTTTTAGGTAAGTCAATGTAAACCTGTAAGGCTGGGCCCCTTGACCTAACTGCAAGGAACTTAGTTTTTTGTTCCAAGGTCAATCATTTATCTGACTACATAAGTCTAAATTAGTTAACCAATCCTCAAAGTTGGTCTTACCATCACAATTATCAGCTCCTACAACCGGTTTAAAGGGTTTCAATGCAGACACTGATGTACATTTTCTCTACGAATATTAGTACATGTACTTGATAAGGTACAATATTCAGTATCAGGAGAACTATGTATGTACATAATGTGGCGGGGATCTCCCCGGGCCAAACCTAAGTTCGTTGGGACCAAGTCTGACACCTATTAGAGTGTAGCTGATCTTCCCGAACCCAAACTTTCCCAAGATGAGAGACCACTCAGAGCGACCTCAAGGCCTAGGGAGCAGGTCCGTTTGGAGGAAATATACCGCAGATTATGATGATTGTGATTACCCTTTGTTAATTGCACAATAAACTAACAACAAATATACGATCGTAATTTATTATTCAATAATCAAGAAATATGCAGTAGTGATTGAGTCCTAATGAGGTTGCTAATTACAAATGTACCAGGGTCACTCAATTACACTTGGGAGTTAACTGATAGCTCACCTAAGCAGCAACGTGCACAGCTTGAACAATGCACCCAATGTAAACAATGCACTGCTAAGTCAACAATGTACACTAATGTAAACAATGTAAGTTATACACGCCAATGTAAGTAGTGTACGCCAATGTAAATAACACACGCCAATGTAAGTAATGCATGCCAATGTAAGTAATACATGCTGTTCAGCCTGAACCTGATTTACGCTTTACCCATGCAAGCTAGCGTCAGTATCGTAGAGTACATTCACTTCTACGGCTGCGCGTCAGCATCACACAGCGCAACTTCAGCACAGTCAGGGCCAGCAGTGCCTTTACACAGTGCGTGTCAGCATTACCCAAAACACGGAGCGCGAGCAACATACAACCTTACCGCCCGCTGTCCACGACACAACTCCTCCGCGCGATCACACATGCACACGTTGTACAAACACATATGCACACGTTGTACAAACACATATGTCTGCACTTAACCTTTGGGCCTTTGGCAACCAATAACGTATGTGCATTCAGTGACCGGGCTCTAATAAGCCCAGTAACCAACACACAGTGAATTAACACTATTTCAGTATGAATAATGTAGGAAATAAACTGGCTATAAGTCCCTAAACACTTTCCGCTTCAATAACAGGCATGCAACTTTTCCTTGGATCCGCTAATTTCCTCGTTTTTTTAACTTTTCATGAATGCCATTACAAATTGAAAAACACTGTACAAAGTCTTGTGTGGTTTGGAGTTTCCTCTTTGTGTCTTAATTCCCAGATTCATGCCTGACATAAGGCCGAGCATCCTGGGTATGTGTTATAGTTCTGCACCTGGGGGAGGGCGTGTGGCTGGGGACTTTGGCTCCCATTGGCCGAGAAAACCCTGGCCAAGTCAATCTTTCACTTTCAGCTTCAATCGCTGCAATTTCATCCTCTAACATAACAAAAGTATGGCCTAACTGACCTCCTAATATTTCTTTTTTCTTTGAACTCATCTTGGTTCAACTACAAAAAATATGGATGGGTCAGCTAAAAATTTGATCCAAACACAGGATAAGAAATGTTGGTATCAGGAAAATATATTATATAATTAATTATCTGGGCAATCACAAATTGATATCACAGGCCCCAAATATATTTAGCCACAACAAAATATTTACACTATCCGGCATCTTTACATGATGCAAAAGATATTTACATGGCAAAGATCTACAATGTTTTATGAAATCAGTTGTCAGCCTTTATCATTTTAATTTTGTTTATTTACAGGCTGAGAGGGAGGCAGACACTTTGAGGAAGCAGATGGCTGCTTTAAAGGAGCAGCTTGAACAGGTTGAGAATGAATGTGCCAGACTAGATGTAGACTCACCAGACTTTTCTTTAGAAGTAAGTTGGCAGGGAAAAAATACATGATGTCAAGAGGCCGTTGTTCACAAGCTTGATGCATAGCTGTAGCAAGGTCATTTTTATGAAAAGGGCACTTGCACATCCGTGCCGAAATGTTGACAAGTTTTTTTTTCTCTGGACACTTGGCCTCTGTAAAAACAACTTGGGGGTGGGAGGGGGGCTGGTACCATCTTCCATTGGGGGAGCTATTCAAATTGGACGATTATACTCACTTTATGACAATAGATCACATTTTCAGGGCAGCACAAGCGCCAAATTAAAAAAGGCACTTGTTTCAGCTGCTAAAGTTACAAAAAGGTACTTATTTTTTTTTAAACAAGGGCACTTAAAAAAAAAAGGCCACTTGTTATATTTACAAAATTTGCCACTTATTTTCACAAAATATTGGGGGGGGGTCTTTGCCAATGTGGTGTGGGTGCATCTTGTAGATGGCAACAAATTGTATAGTTCAACAGTCTTCACACAATAGTGTGAGTTTTCTGACATCACATGCATTTTTCTAATCTGTGCGGCATTTTTCTAATCTGAGGGAAGTGAACGGCCAGCGGCCGATATACCCACGAATATCTCGCCGCTATCTCGTTTGTCGCCGCACTACCGAGATAGCTTAGGACGGACGAGGGGCAGGGAACGACCTCTGTCGATATACCCAACGAAACGTCCTCTTCTAGCTTACTAGCTCCCCGAGCTAGCTGAAACAGTCAGGGGGAAAGGGAACGACCTCTGTCGATATACCCCCACTGTACTCGTCTCGCTAGGCCCTAGCTCACCGCGAGCTTAGGGGAAACGAACGGAGAACAGGGAACGGCCGAAACCGCTATATTCTTCGAAACGTTTCGCTAGTCCCCTGAACGGCCGAAAGTCTGACTTCCGGAACAGGGGCCCCACGTGTGGGGCGACTAGCAGACCTTGTGGAGAATAACCGCACTTCTCTCCGGGGATATACGACGCACTGTCTCCCCTAAAGGTCTTTACAGATTTCTATGGAGTCATAAACTAAATGCACTGCTTTTTTTTTTTTTTTTTTTTTTTTTTTTTGACAAAGAAATATTATTATAAGATAACTGTACAACAGAAATAATAATAATAACTCAGGAAAGCCGACTCGGCTAAAATGGGATTGCACTCGATCCCAAAGGGAGAACCCACGATGCCTACCCGGCACTGGGCTAGCCCCGCGGTGCCGACCTGGCCCGCCGCACGCGGTGTCAGACAAAGGCTGAAAAGCCTGCTACGCCACGTGAAAGAAAAACGAAAGCAAAATGACTCCAAAATCACTCCAAATGAGAACTACTTAACTCAAAACAAACTCTACAGATTCTACACAACTCACTTGGTTGATAAATTCTATAAAACAGAAACTCTTAAAGCGAAAATCGTACAAAAACTCGTCAAAAGGCGAGAGCAAAAATATTTGCTTCTGCACGATGCCGTCGCTAAGAAAAAAGAGGAAGTATAATGGCGGATTCATGACGTAGCATAATGGGTAGGCCCCGAGAGGGCGCTCGGTGGTTGATTAAATCTTTTAGCGTTTGAGCCTGTCGGCTGAATAAATATGCATATGTAGTAGCTATTTGGGTAAGTGAATGAAGTAGACTTGGCAAACACAGGTCTGCTATTACAACCACATTAATCAATGGACACCCAGGTCCAATGTACATGTACATCAATTACCATTTGGCACCCAGGCCAATTATTACTGAATGGGCACCCAGGCCCAAGAGTAATCATGCCAGAACCAAACTATCTGGTCAACATTTTGGGGACAGCCATGGTTGTGCTATGGAAGATACAGCACACCCAAACCCCTGGGTATAAGAGAGAGTGGCTGACCCCTTACAAAGTTCACATCACAGTGTATTATAACACTCGTCAATATCCGTAACAATATCAACTGATGACAATAACCATAACAATAATGATACATGTCCAATCATGTATGTATTAGGAGATGGCTGTCTTCGAATCCTGTTAAAAAGCCACTTTAAATGAAAACCTGCAAGAGAAGGCAGGAGCTGGGGTGGTGGTGGGCAAATTGACCCAGCTTGCTCAAAGTGCTGTGACAGAATGACCCACACAGTACATGCAGTACATGTGCATGCATTGTTTCACTGTTGCATATCATTAGGGTTTCAATCTATCTTCTTATTGGTCAAAACTCTTGGCTGTGATTGGTCAAAACTCTTGGCTGTGATTGGTCCAATCTATGAATAATTAGTGCCAGGATCCGGCTCAGGATGCCAACTTTTGCATTAGGATTTGTCCGCTAGTGTTCATAGATAATACTGGAGGCATTAAAGTAAAGTTTTGATAAGATATAAATGTAGGTTTGGGGCTCCAAAGTGTGAGCTCGTTGTGGAGAGTTTAGCGAACATTGTGCGTGTAGTACATGTATAGGCATACACGCGTTCACGTGCAAAATGTGACAGCGTGGTGCGCGCACACGTGATATTCCCATGTAATTGTGTATAACGTTACGTACGTATTTATGTTCATGTATAATTTAACATGGGTCTAAAATGTGGTTAAAAAGGCCGCATCAAAGGCCACCGGCGGTCCCAAGGGTAAGACCCAAAAAGGGACCAATAGTCGCTCGATTACGCCTCCGGTCTCCGGACCATCGGCGTCACCTAGCAACCCGGCGTCGATTTCCCGTGGTTTCACGGGAATTTCTTCGCCTCGTCCCCCCGGTCTGCTGGCTCCAGCAACTCTCGGGGACGACCAGTCACGGAGCGGTAAAAGGATTCAATCCTCACCGGCCCCGTCTGCGCGTTCATCGCGCTCCGAGCATCCTGCTTCCACCCGTGCGGAATGGGCAGGACTCGCGGTGACTGACTTGCCTCCTCCCCCAATTCGGGCCACGGACTCGCAGTCAACATCATTCTTTGATCAATGCTCCGGAATTCCTAGGATATTATCGGAGTTTTCATCCAGTGAATCAAGTCACCCAAGCAAGAAAAGGAAACACAAGGCCGCGCCGTCTTCTTTAGGGGATTCCCCCCGTAAGTCGACGCATCGGAAAAAGAAAAACAAAGGTGTATCCACAGAAATCTTTCTAAAAGCTTTCCAGGACATCAAGGTTTCGCTAGCAGCCCTCACTAAACAACAACAATGGAGATCGGCCCCAATGGTGACTCAGAGGTCACTCCCGGCGGCCACATTTCCGGACCCAAATCCGGGTCTAATCCTGCCGGATCCGGGTGTGATCCGGCCGGATCCGGGTCCAATCCGGCCGAATCCGGGCGCGATCCGGCCGGATCCGGGCTTAATTCAGCCGGATCCGGGCGCAATCCTGCCAAATTCGGGCGGGATGAGAGGGGAACACACTCGGCCCCCAGATCCTGGGGTTGCCATCAGTGTCTGCTCAGATAATCCACCTACTCCAGGCCGCGATTGGGCGCCCCCGAGATCACAGGCGGGAATTTCCTTGCACCCATCTATGAATTTGGGCACTTCTGTTCAAGATGCTCCTGACATAGATGTCGATGATACTCACCCCCCTTCCACTCACTCACAAGATGAGCGCTCTGGGGATGATGAGGCCACTGACCCTGGCAATTTTTCGCCATTTGAGACTCAGCTGAGGCTGGTTCAAAGAGATATGGTTCGGGTACTGCAACTACCAGAGAGCAGTAAACCAGAGACCACCCATCGTTCTTTCAAACGCCGGACTGGCGTGGAGGAACCTCGGGATCCAGCTTTCCCAACTATGCCGGTGGATCGTTTATGCGCCGATCGCATACAACGCATCGCCGATTCAAAGAAATGGACGGCTTTCAACAAAAGGTCGGCAGCCTATTTCCAATTTCCAGAAAAGGACCGAAACGATTTCTTTACGGTTCCTTCTATTCCGGATACGCCCAAGGACAAATTGACTGGAGATAGCGGCAAAGCCCCGACCAAGTCAATATTTGTCGATAAGACTAGAGCAAAGATGGAGGATACAATGAAGAAGGTCGATGAGGCGGCTAGATTTGGCTCACAAACAAGCGCCTTTTTACTTCTGTTATCTGAATATATCGTCTGCGCATGTGAGGAAGATTCACAAATTCCAGCCGATATGTTAGCAGCGGCCTTCCGGTGTCTGGACGAAATACTCCGTTTCTTTCTAGACCAATTTACGAGAATCTCTATCCTGTCTGCCAAGTCACGTAGGACTAGCGTGATGGATGCACTTTACATACCACACGAGGGCGCTAAGAAGAAGTTAGAAGACCTTCCTCTTATGGGCAAAGACCTTTTCGGAGGCAAATTCCAGGAAATTCTGGAAGTTGAAGCCAAACGAATTGAGACAGCAGACAAACTGAGCTTGAAGAAGCCTTCAGCCACTAACAAGCCCAAGTTCTCTGGGAAGAAGGCAACGAAGGGTGCTCCCTCGTTACGCCCTGCCCTTAAGAAACCATTCAAGCCTTTTCGCCAACAGACGGCCAAGGCATCAGCTGGTGCAATGGTTTCAGCTCCACGCCCCTACTCTGCCCCTGCACGCCAATTTAGCGGCCGGGGACGTGGCGGTGGGCAATCGGCCCCCTCGCTCTGGGTGGCGGCGGTGACGCCCCTACCGAGCCGACCCCGACACTGGGGCCCGTCGGGGGTCGTCTCAGAAATTTCGTAGGGCCCTGGAGAGAGATCACCTCCGACGCATGGGTGCTTTCTATAGTCAGCCACGGCTATCAACTAGAATTTACAAGCACCCCTCCGTCGGAAATATGTGTTCGCGAAACACCGGTTCCGACAAACACAGACAAACGATTAGCTCTCGAACAAGAGATCTCATCCCTCATCGAGAAGAGAGCGGTCCGCTTGGTGCCACCAATGGAGCAGTTCAAAGGCTTCCTGTCCTTCTTTCTAACACCAAAGAAGGCGGCTGGCGAATGGCGGCCGATAATCAATCTGAAACCGCTCAACAAGTTTGTCAGACCCAAACATTTCCGAATGGAAACTCTCCATGTAGTTCTAGAGTCATTACCCACACCAGCGTGGGGAGCGTCATTAGACCTAAAAGACGCGTACCTACTCGTCCCCATCTTCCAAGAGCACTCCCGATTCCTTCGTTTTCGGTATCAGGGGCTCACTTACGAGTTCACTGCCCTTCCCTTCGGGCTATCAACCTCGCCAAGAGTGTTCACCAGGGTTGTGCGGGCAGTTGCATCACGTCTCCGACGAGAAAACATAATGATTTTTATGTATCTCGACGACTGGCTGATAGTGGGAAAATCAGAAGGCCAGACTGCTCAGAATTTGAGGGATACTTATACGTTGACAACGAGGCTAGGCTTCATCATCAACGAAAAGAAGTCCCACCTAATCCCGTCCCAGGAAATCACTTTCCTGGGAGCAGAGATCGATCTACGCAGGGGCATAGCCTTCCCCACAGGGGAACGTGTTGCCAGCCTGCGGAAGTGCGTCAAACTCTTCCTATCAGTTCAAGTCGCTCCAGCGCGAGCTTGGCTGAAACTTCTAGGGTTCATGGCCAGCTTAGTGGACCTGGTTCCATGGTGCAGACTGAGGATGCGTCCTTTGCAAATGCATCTTCTGGCACATTACAGACCCAAGACAGATCCAATCTCTCTATTGGTCTCCATCGACGAAGTCATGCGGCCACACCTGCGGTGGTGGTTATTGGTGGTTATTGGAACAGAACATTCGGACGGAGCTTCCCCAGAGGGGATCCTCACGTCATAATCTCCACCAACGCCTCCAACGAGGGCTGGAGAGCCTCCCTTCCCCCTCGACAAGCTGCAGGCACTTGGGACGACAACACTCGGTCCCTACATATCAATGTTCTAGAACTCCAGGCTGTAGTCAATGCCCTACATCACTTTCAAGCAGACGTAGTGGGCCGGTCTGTTCTAATCAAGACCGACAACACGACAGTGGTAGCATATATCAACAAACAGGGCGGTACAAGATCACCCCAGCTGTGCTACCGGACTTGGGAAATGTTTCAGTGGCTAATCAGACACAAAGTCGATCTACGTGCCATTCACATTCCTGGTGCGGAAAACGACATAGCGGACTCTCTCTCCAGGGGCAAAGTAGTTCCCACGGAGTGGTCATTGAACAGGAGGATCGTAAGTCAGATCTTCTCGATCCTAGGTCGTCCACACATAGACCTGTTCGCCTCAGCAATCAACACTCAGCTCCCGGTGTTCTGCTCGAGAGCCCATCATCCTCATGCATGGGCCTCGGACGCACTATCAATAGACTGGACAAACATGTTCGCTTACGCCTTCCCTCCGATCTCAATCCTTACAAAGGTCATCGGGAAACTGGAGAGAGACAGGTGCAAGATCCTGCTGATCGCCCCTTTTGGCCGCGTCAGCCCTGGTTTCCGCGACTGGTGAGGCTCCTAGTGGGCTCCCCTCTAATCCTCCCAGATCGTCACGACCTACTCGTTCAACCTCAGTCCCGGTTCCGACACCCATCTCCAGGAGATCTCCACTTAGCGTGCTGGCCACTGTCAAGCGTGCCTACCGAGCAGCAGGTCTTTCTGAAGACGCTGCAGCTCTGGCCGCAAAGGGACGTCGTCTCTCAACACGACGAGTCTATGACAGTCGACTACGACATTATAGTAGGTGGTGCGCAGAACAGGCTGTGGATCCGGTCTGTGCTTCTTTAAGCCATTGTTCAGAATTCCTACTGTCATTGTTCAGAGCCAATTTGTCAGTAGGAACGATACGAAATTATCGATCAGCCATAGCAGCAATTCACAAAGGCTTCGCTGATGGCTCATCTATCTCCTCTAATGTTGCAATCACTAACCTACTCCGGGGAAGGTTCAACGAGAGACCTACAATCCGGAAACTGGTCCCATCCTGGGATCTAGGTCAGGTCCTGAACATTTTGGCCAAGGCTCCATACGAGCCCTTGGGCCAAGCACCCCTCATTCATGTATCTATAAAGTTGGCCTTCCTGCTCGCAGCGGCTACCGCTAGGCGTAGCAGCGAGATCCATGCGTTGACTTTAGATTCAGGACATATCCGCTGGGAACCAGGTGGGGTTCGCCTGATCCCAAAGGCGTCCTTCCCGACGAAAAATCAGACGGCAAGTTTCAGCCCTCCTGATATTTTCCGTAGCGGCGTCCTGGGCATTTTTTAGGGGAGTCCCTATTTCAGAGATTTCTCAAGCAGCATGCTGGAAGTCTGCCACGACATTCACATCCTGCTACTTACGTGATGTACTCCAGACTGGAGGGAACACAGGGAGGACGGTACTGACACAACACCAGTCCTCGTCTACAAACCCTACCCTGCACAGTAGTTCTTCCCGGCCTGACCAGGAGACTAACTAAGCAGGTAATACATTTACATGTATATTCAATCTAAATGGTCTAAATCATTATGTATATATATATATACTGTTGTTTAACCATTTGATTTCAGGGCGTCTCGCCTACCCAGCCACCGGTTGTCGGTGCCACTCTATGCATATGTAGTAGCTATTTGGGTAAGTGAATGAAGTAGACTCCCCCCCCCCCCCCCCCCCCCCACAGAAGTGTGGGACGAGTCTACGAGTGATACTTACCCAAATAGCTTCCCGCCCTCCTCCCCACTCTCGGCTCGTGTTACGATGGTTTTTCACCTTTAGTGCGCGAGAAAAAAGAGGAAGTATAATGGCGGATTCATGACGTAGCATAATGGGTAGGCCCCGAGAGGGCGCACGGTGGTTGATTAAATCTTTTAGCGTTTGAGCCTGTCGGCTGAATAAATATGCATATGTAGTAGCTATTTGGGTAAGTATCACTCGTAGACTCGTCCCACACTTCTGTGGGGGGGGGGGGGGGGGAGTATAAAGGATTCTGTCAAAATACATGCATCGTGACAAAATCTCATATCAAGTTAATGCACATGTACTTGTATGATTTAATGTAATTCAAGGAGTTCATTCATTGTTTGAATATCAAGTCAATGTACAAGTTCTTATTTAGTAACATGAATCATATAATTATAAGTTCACATATTGTCATTGTGAATCTTGAAATTGTTCATATGATTTTTTGATGGAATGATGACGAATCATATCTGTTCCTCAGTGCAAGTTCGATGATTGTAATGATTATTACAAAATAAACTGACCTTTTTAATGTCAATCGTGTTTAACATTAACACTTTTAAAAAAATTTTAGAATTTAAATTGGGATTGTATCTTATTGCATTTTTGTGTTAATTTCGTCAGTATTAATTGATTTTTTGTTTCTAATGGTTTAACGTTGTATTGTCATCTTAATTCGGCATGTGCCGCTACAGTGATTTTTTTCATAAAATAGTCTATCTATCTAAACCACCCCTTAACGAAATGTTTGAACCCAACTCTGTGGTGCCCTCTTTTGGGAACAATATGCGCTACACGCAACGCTCAGTAGAGGTGTTATAATCTTTTATATAAAAGACCCATGATAATAATTAGCAGTAGAATTGTATGTGATTGCTGGGAATATTCAAGATATGATAGTAATGTATTACTTATGTAATGATTTATTGCATAACAGGCTCCACTCCATTTTTCATTTCAATTGTCATGTTACAGGAAATAAAAGTTATAAGACAACAACACAATGCAAGAGAGAATATTGGGGAGAATAAGGCCAGGCAGGAGGAGGATGCCATGATGGAAGCTTTGAGAGGCCAAGTCAGGACATTACAAGAGAAACTGAAACGACATCAGCCACACCATTTTGTTCAGGTTGGTAGTTATCACCAGAGTATCCTATTAGTGAAATCATCACAAGACAATTATATCACAAGTCAAATCACAAGTAAGGATGATCGAGGAATGATAAAAGACTGCGTTTATCACCTTTCATTTTAATTTTTGTTACTATGCCCCGTGGCGAAGTCAAAGGGGCATACTGTTTCCCCCTTGTCATTCGGTGTGTGTGGGTGAGTTTGTAAACACTGGCAATCGAGGACCAGGGACAAAACAGTTAAGGCACAAACAAAGAGTCCATGATTGGCCGATTGAAATTCGTGTGCAAAACCATTGAGAGCTGTTGCTAAAACGTTAAGAGTACAAAAGGGGTCCATGGTTACTGGTGTTTACAAAGATGGGTGTGCATGTGTATATTTATGGCTTTATGATAGAGGGCAGACACACAAAGGGAGAACACCCAGTCTTGTTCCGTAGTTTTGGGGACATACACTTGTCTAGATACAAGGTTTTTGTAGGGACTGAAAATGCTGTGGGGACAGCACAAAGTCCCCACAACTCGATCCTAATTAACCTAACAATGAAAAACTTCCCCATAACGTAGTGTAGGCCAGGGCAAAAGATCCTTTCAGTCCTTGAGCATTGGGTCTTTTGTTGAAAACGGTCCTTGATGGTACGGTTTTGTGCTGAGTCTATAGACGAATCCAACGGAGACAATTTTGTTACCTTTGTCGTTGGCGGCGCTGTTGCATTTGCCATTCCGAGGGGCCATTTTTAAAAACCGCTAAACGACGGGCTTGTGTACGTGTAAGTCATGTAAGTGGCAACAGTGAACGAACTGGAACCATGCGTATCGAGCTCCAATTTTAGGCTTTTATCGGGATTCTTGAAAACATTATGGCTAAAGAAACAACGAAGAAGAATAACGAAGGATCAGGAAAACACTGTGTCGTCGTTGGCTGCAAAAATACAAGCAAAAAGCTGAGAAAATGGAAGCTTGCAACATGCGAATTGCATGCATCAGAAACGCACGAATATTGTGTGTGTTTACAGCCGTACAAAATGCATCGTTTCCCCAACTGTTCCAACGCCAATTCCGCAGCCAATCGAAAGCAGTGGGTGAGGAATATCAACCGAAAGGACTTCAGACCTTCAAAATACAGCACTGTAAGTTCCTTTTTCAGGGAAGGACCGTGTAATTCATCAGACGGTACTTCAATTCATACTTCATGTTTGGTCATGATTGTTGGAATGGTATCCAGTAATTTGGGACATGGGTTTACGGGTAGGCCTAAATCAGCTTTTAATTTGTGTGGTAGGCCTTGTAGAGGTGCGTCTTTGCCACTCAGTGACAGTGGCTTGAGTTTTAAATTATGTCCCCCATTTTTTATTTATATTACTAATACGGTACTACTAATAGTAGCTAGTCCGAGTAACTTGGACCCAACTTATCGCCTTTTTTAACATTTGGACATGGTCTGGCGATAGTAAGGTCCAAGCTAATACCGAGACCTAGACAACACAGTCCCAAAAACCAACATTTTCCAACAAAAAACATCAGATTTCACCTTCAAAAAGGCCTCCAAATTACTAGATATGCCACCTGAGGTACAAGTAGACATCGGTTGTACTGAAGTTTACTTACGATCTGGAAAAAAGTGAAATTTTCTGTTCAATTCTGAAGACCCCCTCTGCCTAGGTTGTCGTTGTTGTGCTCGCGTTCAAAACTGCATGATAATGGCGTCAGACCTCGACCTCATGCAAATGTCTGGACGGCGCGCTTGCGCATAATGCACTGCATGCACGGCAGATTCCCCCGCGCCGACGACTGTTTCCTGATGTAGAGTGCTGTGTAAGTTCGCGGTACGCCTAGGAGTCGCGCTGGCTAGCCAGGCGCATGGCTGGCGCTCTACATCAGGAAACAGTCGTCGGCGCGGCGCAGGGGAATCTGCCGTGCATGCAGTGCATTATGCGCAAGCGCGCCGTCCATACATTTGCATGAGGTCGAGGTCAGACGCCATTATCATGCAGTTTTGAACGCGAGCACAACAACGACAACCTAGGCAGAGGGGGTCTTCAGAATTGAACGGAAAATTTCACTTTTTTCCGGATCGTAAGTAAACTTAAGTACAACCATCTTAATCGTCTATGTCTACTTGTACCTCAGGTGACATATCTAATAATTTGGAGGCCGTTTTGAAGGTGAAATCTGATGTTTTTTGTTGGAAAATGTTGGTTTTTGGGACTGTGTTGTCTAGGTCTCGGTATTAGCTTGGACCTTACTATCGCCAGACCATGTCCAAATGTTAAAAAAGGCGATAAATTGGGTCCAAGTTACTCGGACTAGAATATAGCCTGGGAAATTAAGGCCTTTTTGCTAGGATGTAGCCTCAATCCTGCAAAATCCTCCAATTGGCCTCATGGAAAAATAGCATGTAGCCTCAATCCTGCAAATTCCTCCGTTATTTCTTGAATATGGTCCATGGAGGGGTGACCACTGCCTGAATCCTGCAAAATCCTCTGGCTATGACTGTCAATAGGCTGAGGCAGAGGCAGTGACATCCTGGAGCAGTGTGGAGGATGTCAAGTATAATCAAGGACTAAATTTATGCACGGCTGAGCATAAACAACACAAGGTCCGGCCCAAGACCTTGACACAGTGCGTACTCCGAAATCAGCAATGCACTTTTGCCATGTAACCTCAATCCTGCGAATTCCTCCAATTTGCAAAAAGGATTTTGGAGGATTCAGGGCGGTTAGGGTTAATGTATTTAATTGTTTAAAAAAAAAAATGGGGGAGGGGGGCAATCGTGTAGTGTAGGGCCCCTGTTTAGTTTTGATCAAATTAGTGTCATATACTCATAGATGTTTGTTGTTGCTCCAAAATGACGTTTTCAATCAAGAGCGGACTTCTCTCAATTCTAGGTTTTTGTAATTCTGAACTGAGTTTCTTGGGGTAGAAATCACAATTTTTCTGCACGGTTTTCTGCCAGTTGGTGCCTAGCAATTCAGTGCTGTTTGTGTTCACGGTACATCGCGCAGTGATCGCCATCTTTATTTTCGGGTTGCGTGTTGTCACTGCACTGTCATTTTCATTTAACCCCCCAATTTCCCTTCAAAAATTCAAAACATTGCCCTCTATCTATGGAGTACCGGTTTATTCCTATTTCCTAATGTCACAAACTAGTTTGGTCGGTCTAATAATTTTAAAGTGGATTTTTTTCCCTATAGGGAACTGGGTCCATAGATACATGTACACAGTTGCCACTGTTTAATGAAATGCCAGTGTAAAGACAAGTGCAATCAAATTTATTTTTAATGTATGTTTTGCATGTTTGTTGAGTGCTTCGGCCCCGTACAAAAAGGTTTGTGTTGCATGGGTTGCTCCCATCCAAAATATTTTGTCAGAATTTGTCCACAACTTACCATCTGATCTGCTGTCTGTTTGTTTCTTTTTTATTTCAGGTATGTTCTGTCCATTTTGAAGAAGGGAAGCCAACATCAGCTCACCCTTACCCAACTGTGGCCATGGGATATATCCCCTATGTAAGTCTAAATCAAGCTAGTCCTGTCAATTAATAGTCAAGTTTTGTTCCCAGTATGGAGTTTGTGTTTGGTTTTCAGAGAAATATTCTTGGAAGCATCTCCCCCCCCCCCCCACAACAAATATAAATATTGATAAAGAAACGTTTATTTCTTCTTGTCTAGTACTCCTCCAATTTATACAAATATTCTATTTTACTGGGTACATCTGTAATTACATATAACAAAACACAGCTACCTACTGACCTAGACCCGTGAACGTGTCATCAACAACGCCATGCTCCAGAGTACTGAAGAAACACTCGATGCACATGATTGTACGGGTTACCGGACAGATCCGCTCCTACCATTTTGCACGTGCATGACTCAGAATACCAGCGTTTTGTGTGACCTCGGAAAAATCAAAAGTTGTGCTCGTACAAATGTACCGGTACGTTTCTTGTTGTGTTGAGGTCGTTTTTTTTTTTTTTCAAATTTCTTGGCAATGTAAGATCCTATGCTCGCATGAAATTACAGAAAGTTTCAAAACTTGGGGCTTGGACTTGGGGTTTGAGGATTCAACAACAAATGTAATGTACAGGTTTACTTTTCTTTTTACAGAAACAGCTCTCAAGAGGAAGGCCTCCCCCTAGGAGAAGAGTTTCCACAGCAACAAAAGCAGTGACAGTGCAAGAAAAGGCTGGAGGGGTTGCAAATATGAGTCCGCATGGTGTTGAGAGAACATCAACATGTGTACAAACAGCAGGATTAGAGACGAAGGATGCATCAGTACAGTGGTATGATGCCAGAGTAGCTGACCATACTTATGCACATGTTAATCCTATCACTAAATCCAAGGCAAAAGGTACGCAAACAGTCAAGGTTCCAGAAGTATCAGCAGTTAATCTTCAAGAATCTGATATGAAGTTTTACACCGGACTTAGCGTGCGATCATTCTGGGCGCTTGTGAATGCGCTTGTAGTGACTCTTACTACCACCCCTAAATTTCAACTACCAGTGCCAGACCAACTTTTGCTTGTTTTGATGAGATTAAGAATAGCCCTGATGATCTGGGATCTTGGAGTACGCTTCAAAGTGTCTCGTTCCACAGTCTGTGACATTATCTCCTTCTGGGTACCACGTTTGGCTACATTCATGAGAGAAAATGTCATATTTTGGCCATCACGTGACACGCTTGCCAGGATACGTCCCAAATGTTTTGAGTCTTGTCATCCTAAGGCTACCTGCATCATAGACTGCACTGAAATCTTTGTTCAGAGACCCAAGAACTTGAGAAAACGTGCCCAAACTTATTCTAACTACAAACATCACAATACCTACAAGGCCTTGTACTGCATTGCACCAAATGGTTTTGTGACGTATGTTTCCAAATTATTTGGAGGTCGTGCCAGTGACACTTTCATCTCTCAGAACTCTGGCTTTTTGGACCACTTGCTCCCCGGTGACGAGGTTCTAGCTGACCGTGCCTTCACTATCGAAGATATTCTTCCACA